AACTGAGGCCGGGGAGTCGGGGACGGCCCAAGGTCACGCGGCCCGAGGCTTTGGAGATCCGCTCAGACCTCGTCCCAGAAAGGGAAACTGAGGCCCGCGAGGCGGAAGGACACGCCCAAGGTCACTGAGCCCAGCCACGGGCCAGATCCGCCTGAGCCAGGGGACTTCCTCGCGCCTACGGTACGGGTCCAGGGGGCGCAGACAGGTGCAGTAAAGTGCGACCGCCCGGTGCCAGCCTCTTTCCTTTCTACAGGCTGGAGAATTTCCGTAATAAAAGGATGTTTTTAAAGGCCAAAAAAGCCCTTGCTTTGTAATTTGAAGGGCCGGGACAAAGACTGGTGGGAATATGTTGTGTGCGGAGGGGCAAAATGGGGTTCATGCGGCCAGTCTCCAAGTCCCACAGTCACCCCCTCTTTCCCACCTCCTGCATGTGAGGAAGACGGGCCAACAGCAAGAGCCACCCGGTGGTACTGGTGCCCCCCCAACAATGCCCTGCAGTTCAGTGGGGGGCTGTGGTCTCCTGTGAGGCTGGTGGGCTTTAAAATGGAGAAATTCCCAGGGTCATTGCGGGGGGACCCAGACTCCCTCACCCTTTCCCACCAGATGCCCACATGGGAGTCCCACCGGATTGCCCCCATTTCTCTACCTCTAAGGCTCAGGCCCCAGCTGGCCACTCATCCCCCAGCTCTGGGAAGACAGCTGAGGCTCTGTGTCTGGGGCTGGAGTCAGGTTGGGGGGTTATTTGGTGTTAGGTGACATGGGGGCATAGGCCCAGGACCCCGTCCCTAGCCCCTGCTCCCCATCCCAGCTCAACCAGAGGGTGGGGGGAGGTGTCCTGAGAGGCAGGTAATGGAGACAGAAAGGAGAGAGGAGCGTCCTGGCCTCCTGGGAGCCTCCCGCTCTCATAGCACTTTTCCGTGGGTGCATGCACCTGCCAGTATGTCTGGCCTGTGAAAGCAGAGAGGTTGTCTCTGCACACGGCAGGCACTCATGGGTGATTGAGGGATGGACTGAGCCAGGCCATCTTGAGCCCCCACCAGGCTGCTTCAAGCCCTGGGGACTCCCGTGCTCCTGCCAAGCAGGTCTGGCCTCCCAGGGGGCCACTGCTGCCATGCCTTGGGCCAGGCCAGACCTGCCGCCACATGGGAGGGCGGGCAGGGCTGCTCTCTGTCCTGAGGTGGTGAGGGAGAAGCTGGGCGGGCAGCAGATCGGCAGTGCCAGGCTGCAGCCCGCCCCAGGCAGATGTGTGTTCCAGCTGAAGGGGGATCTTTTATGCTCACTCTGGGAGCATGTCAGTCCGGGCAGGCCGCCAGAGCCCCAGGGCTCGCCGCTGAGAGCAGGGAGGCGGCGGACCCACGGTCCTGCCTGAGGACCCACAACGCTTGGAAGTGTGAGAGGCGGGTCTGGACTGAGAGTCACCTAGGGGGTCCCGGCCCCTCTCTGAGCCTTGCGGACCCTGTTCCCAGGTCCTGATGAATCCTCTCCATCCCACAGGCTCCACCCTGGGCCAGATGGCCACCAGCCTCTCCATCTCTCCCACTCCCTCTCACCACTTCCCCGGGGGCAGAGTACTCTGTGCATTCATTCAACAAATGTTTACTAAGCACCTGACTGGGGGGCTGGGATTCAGGCCACCTGTACCCTGCTGACAGTCGAGTGGAAGGGACAATCAACATGGTAAAGATTATGTTTCATAGATATTCTATTGTCCATCAGAAGGTGGTCAGTGTTACACAACTCAGAGTCAGGAAAGGGATGAGAAAGGTGCTGGGGGTGATGTCTGAGGGAAGACCTGCAGGAAGGGAGAGCTGGTGTCATGAGTGCATTTGTGGGAAGAGTGTCTGGCAGGCGGTATGGCCCATGCAAAGGCCCTGAGGCAGGCTGGTGCCTGGCTTGTGGGAGAAGAAAGGATCTCAAGGTCCCAGGGAGGGTGGGTGAAGGTGAGGACACTCAGAGATGGCAATCATTGTGCCGACAGGTATCAAACCCTGAGTCAGTTCACAATGGTCTGTTGCCTAAAACTGCTCTCAACTCCCCACTGCCTTTGGAAAGAAACCCCAATCCCTCCCCACCATCCGGTTTGCCCCCCATTCTTCCTCACCATTCCTGGGCCCCAGAATAGGCCCTGGGGGGCACTTCCTGACCTCCCAGCCACCCCACTCCACAGCCGCTCTCAGCACTCACGAGCCTGCTTCCTCTCTAGTCGGGACAAGTCCAGGTCGAAAGCCCCGAAGCCCATAGAGTCTGGGGACCCTATGAGTGAAAAATAGACCCGGAAGACAAAACAAGGCCAGGGCCTTGTGACGGGTCCCAGCGTTCAAGCCTCGAGGGCTAGAGAGCCCACTGCCAGACTCCAGAAACACAGAATGTTTGATCAGCCATGGTGGCCAGACCCCTGGCCTGGGTCTGGAGCCATCATGGTGCAGGGCCAGCCCTCGCGACCCGCGCGGAGTGGCGAGTGCCCACGGGCAGAGCAGCCTACCACCTCGGTTTCCCGCTGTCTGTATGACCAGGTTGGGGTCCCCGGCTCTGCTGACCTAGGATTCACCAGGCTTTTCCTTTCCTTACAGAGATCATTCTCCCCGGTGGGTGCAAGGGTGGCGTGGGAGGACCAAACTCTGGCGACCCCCCAACACGTCTGTCCCATTTTGTTTCCTCTCTGTCTTCTGCTGCTGGGCGAGGCCCTCACTGCAAGGGGGAGGTGCTCAGGGGCTCCCGGTCTGGGAGGGGGGTCCCAGGGAAAGGGAGGCAGCCCCGTCTGTGGGCCCAGAGATGCCGGCAGACACTTCCAAGCAGCATCAGGACTGTGCCCCAGTTTCATCGGAGGGACACCCCAGGCCTGCCCCTCTGCCCGCCCCCGCCCCGGCAGGTTGGGATCCCGAGATGCCGGTTCCAGAGCCTCCAAGCACTCGCCAAAGATGATTTCACTGAATCCTGTGACTTCTCCATCCCACTCTGGGGAAACCGAGGCAGGCTGCAGCAGGCTGTTGACAAGATCACCCCCAGCGGCGGAGGGCTGCACACTGCTGCGCTCTACAGAGAGATGGACAGATGGATGAATACTTCAGTGCTGAAAGAAGGCGTACAAAGCTGCTTGTGAGTGACCCCATTTCTGCTAGCTGTGTCCATGTGAGGGGCGTCTCTCTGTGGGGGGAGGGTCTCTTCGTGAAGGAGGACCAATGAGGGGTCTGCTAAGAAGGCCAAGCCTCACTCGCCACATCACAGAGCGTGCTCCACGGCATCCCTCTGGTGCCCAAGGCTCTGCTTGCCAGAAGCTCCCACACTTCCCGTCTGGACCCCTCTGCTCTGGGCGCCCGGGATGCAGCAGGAAGCAGGTTGAACCCAGCCATGGCCTCCCAGAGGACACAGACCCCTAGCACCCCAATGCCCACCCCTTCTGACTTCAGGGGAGGAGGGGGGTTGCACCTGAGCCCTGGTGCCCTGGCAGCGTCCCCAGCGAGGGGCCAGCTCCTCACCACCTCCTCCCCCACCGGACCGCTGCCTGTCCACGACAGATCCCCCAGCCCCAGCTAGGCCAGGGATGCCCAGCCAATGTTGGGGGCGCCCCAGGGAGCCCCAGGGCTTAGGGAGGTTGGCCCTGGGGCATGTCCAGCTGGGATGTCCACAGGGCCAGGCAGGTACAACCCCAAGAACCTCTGTAGAGGAGGGGCTCCCTGGGCCCCCAAACCCTGTTCAGTGGCATGCGCGTGGCTCCCTCTGGTGACGGCCGGGGGGAAGGGCGAGGCCCGCAGCTTCCCCCAGCCCTGAGGCCTCGCATTCCTCCCTGTGACCTGGGGTAGGGGGCAAACCCCCTAGGCTGTGGTGTGCAGGGCCTCCATAAAGGACCCTGTTCTGCCCACAGAAGCCCAGAGAAACCACCTGCAGCTGTGTACTGCTGCCCTGGGGGGCGTGGTGAAGCATCTGGCCAGTGGGGTTGGGGCACACGGGTTGGCCACCACCCAGAGGGGGCAGGCCTCCCATTTCAGAGCCTGGGAGTCAAACTGGTGGCTCGTGGGCTGAGTCCATCTTCAGCATTTGGGGTATCATTATGCTGGAGTTTTTGCCAACATCACATTTCACATCCAAACCCTCATTTCTGGCGACCTCCTCCGGACCTGCTGAAGGTCTGGGCCCATGTCCAGAGGGGAGACGGAGGGTAAACACAGTCCCTCAGTGGGCAGCAGGGTCTCCCTGAACGAGCCCCCTTCCCCTTCCCTGGGATAGTTTCCCCTCCAGCACCAGGTGGGAGGCCTAGATGGCACGTGCTAGAGCTCCCAGGTTTGGCGAGGCCCTGCCTCCTCCCACCTGCTCCCCTAGAGCATGACCCAGCCCTTCAACCCCGTCCATGTCGCCCAGCTTGCTCCAGGGGTCAGCCTGGGCTCAGCGGACAGGGACTCCTTTCTCCTGGGGGCCAGGCTCAGGAGGGCCACCTCCATGGCTTTCCAGGCCTCAGCCAGCCCCTCTTGGGCTGAAGCAAAGTCCCAAGGGGCTGGTTCTACTGGGGACACCTGCTGGGGCTCTCTCATGAGGTCCTGGCTGCCCCTCCCCACCCCCGCCTCCATCACACACCGCAGCGAGCTTCTAGCCCGGGACAGGTGGGTGCCAGGCAGCTGTGGGTACGGGAGGGATGCCTGTCCTGGCGGGGCCCGGCCCTGCTCTGGAGCACTCACAGGGCCCCTTGAGGTCCTCTGCACCCCCCACCCCACCTTCACCCTTCATCCTGGGAACAAAGCTCCTGGCCAGCCGGTTAGCCCTGCCTCACCCCCATGCAGCCCAACTGCACCCAGCACTCAGCACCACGTGGCGCTCACGCCCCTGCTAGCTCTCCTTTAAGACCCAGGCGGCGCACACAGGAGCCCAAGAAGAAAGAGACGGGTCGGCCTTTCTTTATTGGTGAGCAGGCAGGTGGTGGGTGAGTCAGGGTGCTGGGGAGCAGCTGGGGAGGGGGTTCTGCAGCGTGGTCGCTGGACTGTCACTCCCCTGCAGCTGGGCGTGTGGACGGCAGGGCGGGCCCACCAGCAGCCGCGTGCAGAGCTGTCCTGACGCACGACACAGACCCGAGGCACCCCGTCAGCGCGACTTCAGACCGGCAGGATGCTCGCACCGTGCACGACCTGCGACCTTCCACAAAGGGTCCCAACAAGGCCCAGCAGTCTCAGGAGGCAGAGCCCCAGAAAAAGGCCAACCTGCCCTTCAAAACCCCCACTAGGGGCTAGGAGGCTGAACGCCCAAGGGACAGGAGGGTCGGGCGGGAGGTAGTGGGGGGGCAGCGAGGGGTCAGGCGGGCGGGGCGGCTGAGGGGACGGGCTGAGAACACGAGTCTCACAGGAAGCTCACAGCTCCCCCGAGGCACTCAGAAAATGTTTAAAAAGGAAAAACAAAACCCCTAAGGAACAGAATTCTATGTGTAGAAAACCCTAGTTTAGTTTAAAAAAGGAAAGAAACATTGTGATTCGACCCACGGTGTGGTCTGCTTTCGTAGGGCGGGTCTCCTTTGAGAGGACCTGCAAACACCAGACGCTGAGCTGCTCTAGACGGAGGCTGGAGGCCTGTGCAGGGCAGGGGGGTGCTCAGAGCCCAGCCTGACGCCGGCTGGGCAGGCCCCGCACCCTCCCCTCCCCCCACGCCTCACCTCAGTTGGCGTTCCTCTGGCGCACGTTCTTGCCTTTGTCATTCACGTGCCCGCTGCTCTTCCTGGGGGATAGGACGGAGGGCTTCTGGGCGCTCAGGAGGACGGAACAGTGGCCCCATTCCCACCCAGCACGTGCACAGTGGACGCTGCCCAGGCCGGCAGTCCTCTAAGCCCTGCCCGGGGGACACGGCCCACCCACCCTCCTCCCAGCAAGGCCACGACTTACAGAGGAGCGGAGCCTGTGTCCTCATCTGTGCAGAGGCGCAGCCACATGCAAGGAGAGGGCAGGCCATCAGGAGCGGTCCCTGCACCAGGCCCCTTGCAGGGTGGCACCGGTCCTGTTGGGCCCTGCCCTCAGTGTCCCTGACTGTAAATACAGGCAGCCAATCCTGCCCCCAGGACATGCACCCTCAGAACGAGGCGTGTGGGGTCACGGCCCGAGGGGCATCTGGGAGCCCTGCCCACAGGCGCCAGGCAGGAGGGCAAGCTCAGGCTTCCTGAGCAACATCTGCACAAAGTCAAGAGCTTGCTGGCTGCCACAAGCCTCGGGCCCCAAGCAGCCACCACCAGCACAGGTGGAGCAGCGGAAGGCGGCCACTGACCGTGGAGGACACCCACCTGCAGCCAAGTGAGGGAGGACAGTGGGGCACGTGAGGCCTGGGTAGGGAGCCCCCCCGGCAGGGACCCCGCCCCGCTCAACCGAACGGCGAGCAAAGGGCGTGTGGGCTCACCATCCAGGACCTCGTCCGGCTTCCGCCGCTTCTCGTAGATGAAGATGACAGTGACCAGCACCAGCACCTCGGCCACGATGCCCAGGAAGGGCCAAAGGGCGGCAAAGCGGTTTCGCACGCGCAGCACGATGACGGCCTGGCCGGTGCCTTCCGAGTTGGTGCCGTTGCACGCGTACTTGCCAGGGTCTGTCTCCAGGTCCAGGTTCAAGATGTGCAGCTCCGTCTTGGTCTCCGAGGACATCACCAAGTACTTGCTGTGGGAGCTGTTGCTGATGACCTGGGGGCAGGTGGACCTTGTAGGGACTGAGGCCGAGGCTGAGGCCAGCTCGTCCCCGGGCAGACACGGGTCTCACCTGGTCCCCAGAGCTTTCCATCTTGTACCACACCCATTCGCTGACCAGGGGGAAGGAGTCCGACTTGCAGCCCAGCACGACCGTCTCCCGCTCCGTGGCATGCTCTGACCTCTTCACGGCCTTGATGTTGGGGAGCCCTACAGGGGAGACCGAGCAAGGCAGGAGCCTGAGCCCACTCTCTGGCGGTTCCTAAGCGGTGGCCTTGCTGAGTCGGCAGGCGGTGTCCTCCGCCCCCTCCCCAGATGCGCCCGAGGGCTGGCCAAGCTCACCCTTCACCTCGATTCTGGTCCTGCCTGCCATCTCTGGGAGGAAGATGCATGAGTACTCCCCAGAGCGCTCATCCAAGTCCACCCTGTAAGCAGACGCACGGCAGTGAGCAGAGCACGCACAGAAGTGCCGTCCTGTCCTGAGTTCAGTTCACGCCACGGCACGCTGCAGGCGACTCCTCCCGACCGGAGCCGGAGCCAGGACCAGTCAGGAGGGACAAGGAGGTGTGGGGACAGCACATGGAACCGGTCCCCCCACCATGACCGGGGGCCTGCATCAACGAGCCTACGTGCCAGCCATCCTTGAAACAAACAGGACTCTGCTTCTAGAGCTGGTTCAGGAACCGACTAAGTCAAGGCTTCAGAGCAGGGCGGCCTGGAGTGCCCGAGACCTCAGTAAGCCAGGGACTCAGGCCAGGGAGAACCCGAGCCAGCGCCCTGGGGAAAGAAGGGAAGGGTCTCCGAGGCCAGCCCTACATTCAGCAGCCCCTGGCCCCTGGCTGGATCTGGGGCCTTGGCCATCTCACAGCCAGGGGGTGTGAGCAGAGCTCGTGTCTCACGTCTGTCCAGAGCGAGCCCACGGACTCCAACCTTCGTTCTGACTGACCACAGAGGCCGTTGGCAGCAACAACATGTTGGAGCAAGTGGGGTGCAGGGAGGGGCCTAAGGGTGATGCCCGCAGGCTGAAATGGGGGTCTGGCATCTCTGCAGGCCCTGGGGCAGGTTGGGGCACCCGCCTCTGGGCCCCACTCACTCATACTCCGTCTTCATGTCAGGCAGTGCATCCTCCTTGAGCACCTTGCCCCCCTTCACCCAGCGGTGGCCGATGATCTCAGTGGTGCTGTGGTTCAAGGTACAGGTAAGCCGTGTCTTGGAGCCAATATCATCTACAGAAGTCCAGATCCCGCTCCCTGGGGGGCCACATGAGAGGACGTGAGCAAAGGGATCAGGGCAAGAAAGGACCCAAACCCAGGGCCCCAAGCTGCCTGCCCACATGTTCCTGAGCCAGCCTGCAACGGCCCTGCCACCGCAGACCCTCCACACTGTGCGAGCGCCCTCCCGGAGGAGAGAAGCCACAAGCCTGAATCACACCCGACTCCTTCCGCTGCGCTAAAGGGGCCTCGGGGCTGAAGAGCTGCCTGTCGGAACAGAGGGCTCGACGCAGCTCTTGGTCAGGAAATGTTTTAACCAGCTGGGTCTCAGGTGTGGGAACACAAGCCAATGACCAGACTGGGTCCATGGACTGCTGGGCCCATGGACTGCTGGGCCCAGACCCAGCACACACCTGAAATTCCTTTTTTAAAAGATAAATCTAGGGGCGCCTGGGTGGCTCAGTGGTTGGGCGTCTGCCTTCGGCTCAGGTTGTGATCCCGGGGTCCTGGGATGGAGCCTGACATTGGGCTCCTTGCTCCGCGGGGAGCCTGCTTCTCCCTCTCCCACTCCCCCTGCTTGTGCGCGCTCTCTCTCAAAAAACAAACAAAAATAAAACTACCACTGCCCAGGCCACCATTCCCTCACTGGAAGCTCCTGCGGACCCGCCTCCCCCCACCAAAGCAAGGCTGTCCGAGGTGGGGCTCGGGGGCTCCGGCGGCCCCTCTTCTGGAAGGTCAAGGGCTCCTCTCCCACTTGCCACAAAGCCACTAGAGAGATGGCCCAGACGCCACTGGTGCGTCCCCAGTGGCCCTTCCATTTAATTTCCAACCAGGCAAACTTCCCCAGTGGTTCGAGATGTTTTCTTTAGGGAGCAAAATGTGAACATCGCTTAGAACCAGAAGGTGAGCAACCTGCTGAAGCAGGAAGGCCTGAGCCGGGGAGGGCCCCTCTGTCGGGAGCAGCCCCCCTAGGGACCAGAGTTCAGGGAGGATGGAGCTGTGAGAATGAACCAGGAGGAGGACCCCCGGTCCACCCTCTGCACCAGAGGCTGAGCAGCAAGCCCACCCGTGTCCACGTGACAGCCCTAGCCCAGGGCTCGCAGGTGCGGTGGGGACACTCCCGTGCCCACCGGCAGGGCCTTTGTGACACAGGCTCCCAGACAGAGAGGTCTCAGTGCAACGGTTAGCAGCTCGTTTACTCAGTAGCATCTGTCACCCACATTCACGTGTCCCAGAGGCGTCCCTTCTAGAAGACCATGCCCAGAGAATCTGGGCCCAGAGAGAGCCACCTCAGGGCGATTGGCAGTAAGCTTTTTCCCATTTAGTCTGTAGGGAGACGCTTACAGCATGAAGTTGGGTGAAAAATCAGAACAGGAGATGGAAGTACCAACAAGAAACAAGCTCCGTCGTCCACACAGACACCCAGTCAGTCGCTAAGAAAATTCAACCTGAAGGGGCGCCTGGGCGGCTCAGGCGGTGGGCGTCTGCCTCCGGCTCAGGTCGTGGTCCCGGGTCCTGGGGTCTCCCTCTTCTCCCTCTGCCCTTCCTCCCACCCCTGACTCGTGCGCCTGCTCTCTCTTAAATATACAAGTAAAATCTTTATTTACTTGACAGAGAGACACAGCGAGAGAGGGAACACAAGCAGGGGGAGTGGGGGAGGGAGAAGCAGGCTTCCCGCGGAGCAGGGAGCCCGATGTGGGACTCGATCCCAGGACCCTGGGACCATGACCTGAGCCGAAGGCAGACGCCCAACAACTGAGCCACCCAGGCGCCCCTATAAATAAAATCTTAAAGAAAAAAAAAAAGAAACTTTAACCTGAAAACCCAAAAGGGCAGCAGGCCAGCAGGCAATCTTTATTGGAGGGATATCACAGCGGGGCAGCTTTCTCGAATGACTCACAGGCAGAATGTGCCTGTCTCCTACTTCGAGAGTCCCTGGCACCTGAGTCCTCAGTGGGCTGACAGCTCCCCTCCCGACCCGCTAGGAACTCAACACCCGCAGGCCCTAGCTCCCCCAGACGCACTTCCAGTCTGGGGGAGGGGTGGCGGCGGCCTTTGTGTGAAGAGGTGAGACCCGAGGCCAGGGTGGACAGGACACAGACCCCCAGGCAGGCAGGGGAAGAGGCAGACAGGAACTGCACGGAGGCCCCTCTCTGGGGCCCCAGGCACCTCCCACCCCCGTGGGCTCCTGAATACAGGTGTATACACATGGACATGCGTGTGCGCTCCCAAGTGTGCATGCACGCAGCTCACACACACACACACACACACGCGCTCACAGCTTCAGGCTACGGCCACAAAGCCGTGAAGCCTTCGGGCTTTCTGCTCTGGGGCAAGGTGGCACATGCCCCAAGGTCCTGGGGACAGGTAGACCTTCATGTCCACCCACCGGGGGTGGCCCAAAGACCATTCACAGGACTCAGGACCCGCACAACGACAAGCAGAGGCGTGAAGCTGGAAGAGGGCTGAAACCCTTCTGTGGCAGTGCCATTTCGACCAAAGGATCCCCTCCCAGTGAGCTGCATTTCTCAGGAGTCACGATTTCCCAAGATTGCAAAACGAACAGCTCTGTGCAGAGCTGGGAGTGGTGAGTCAGGGCAGGAAGTGAGGCCAGAGACAGCCCTCCTCCCAGACTGGCCTGCGTCTCTAAAGCCTCAGGACTTGTGTCTGTAGCCTTGTCCCCTCACCCAGGGGCTGTCAGATCTGTCCAGGCTGCACCCTGCCTCCCCAGGGGAGACAGAAGTGTCCCAAACACCACAGGCTTGAGGGCTACTCCCTGGGGGGAGCAGGGGACTCAGCTTTCAGAGAGAGGACAAGGCAGGGCATTCCCCCCACCACCGAGTCTGAGGAACCACAGGCTGACACCCCTGCCCTGCCTGAGGGTCACACGCAGCAGGGGACCGAGGCACACTGCACCTGGCCCCGGAGCTGGGAGGGGGCACCCCAGGAATTCACAGGGACCCTCAAGAGCACAGGTGCAGGAAGGACGGACAAGGGAGAGAGCCCGAAAAGTAAAAACTCAGCTTTGGCCATGTGACTGTGAGCCCTGTTCTCAAGTGAAGTCACCTTCATCTAAAAACAGCCACCCCTGCTCCATGCCCTTAGGCCGCCGGGCAGGGCACGGGGCCAGGGAGGCCTTATGGTAAACAGCCCAGGAGCAGGGACGAGGCTGCCAGCACCCACCCTCCTCACAGCTCCGCTCAGGTAGGAGGAGCAACAGAACATTTCTGGGATGCCAGCCACAGACTCTGGGCCTCTCCACCCGCCCCTCGCATCCCCTCCATCTGGCCGGCGGGGGGGGGGGGGGGGGTTCCTGCTTCCTTCACCTGCGGCACAGACAGGCCACATCAGCAGCCTGCAGGACCCAGCTAGCAAACTGGTGCCCACTTGTGCCCTCCCAACCGGGCCTGCCAGGACCGTGGGGCCGAGGACAATCCCAGGGAGAGCCCTGTCCTGGGGCCTCGGTTGACATGGGTGCCAACCTGGCAGGCACTTGCTGCTTAAGTTGAGGAAACCCACTGTTGGCAGAGTACCCTGAAAAAGTTTCTGGGAAGCCGACCTGGACAGGAGAGGCAAACACCATCAGTAATTCACTTGTCCCAGCAGAAAAAGGATGCATGCTATTTCCGAGAGTCCCCGGAGATGTGGAGCCGTCAAAGGTGAGAAAGAAGAGGGTGCCTGGGTGGCTCAGTGGGTTAAGCGTCTGCTTTCGGCCCAGGTCGTGATCCCGGGGTCCTGGGATTGAGCCCTGCTCAGCGTGGAGTCTGCTTCTCCCTCTCAGTCTGCCCCTCCCCACCCCTGCTCATGCTCACTCTCTCTCTGTTCTCTCTCAAATAAGTAAGTAAATAAATAAAGTCTTCAAAAAAAAAAAAAGGTGAGAAAGAAGAGAGCAGACACAGGTCCCAGGTGGATTCAGACACTGTGCAGACAAACGGAGTCCTCCCCCCCCAAACCCCATGGTGTGCGAGAGGGCAGGAGCAGCCCCAAGCCCCAGTGGCAGGGGTCCTTCCAGTCTCCCGGCTGGAGCTGGAGTGACTGAACCCGGGAATGAGTGCTTCCACCCTGTGATGAGGGGAGCAAGCTCAGGGACCGTGCTACCAGCAGAGGAAAACCAAGAGTCCTCCTTCACCCCCTTGGCCGCCCGCCTGTGGCCACCACCTCCAGCCACCGAGAGCTATTTGCAAAGGCTCAAGCTGCCAAAAACAGCAGCCTATCTTCCACATTCATCTTGCTGCGGGCTCCTATCAGAGTCTTCCAGAGATCCGCTGGAAGACACAGTGAGCAGGGTGCGGGCCAGGGGCCAAGGCCCTCGCCCAGAGGCATTCAGTAAACTGCCGTCTTGACTCCGAGGAGGAGGAGAGAGGCCAACTGAGACCTTCAAGTGGGTCAGGAGTGAGCGGGTGAAGCTTCCACAAGAGGCCTCCCACAGGAGCCCCAGACCCTGCCCGCACTTTGTTCCCGACATGCCCATCACTGGAAATCTTTAACCAAGAACAAAACGGGAAGTCGCAACACAGGAAGAAAATCTCTGTCAGGGACAGACAGACAGGCTGTGCTGCTTTCCCCTGAAAAACACGCTTGAATCCATTTTCCAACCAGCCTTCTCCAAACCACACCTGTCCACCCCCAAAACACTGCCCACTCCTGTGAAGAGCTCCGGAAAATAAATGCTGTTTGGGGCTAAAAACAACCCTCTCAACAGTTCCTGCTCCACACCGGGCTGCCAAGGCGACCTCACGGCGACCTTGGCACATGTCCCCCTCCCGACCCGGGCCTCAGTTTCCACTCCTGTAACAGGAAGGGGTGGACATCTCCCTCTGTCCCCTGAAATCGGACATCAGGGGAAGCAGAGCGCGCTGGCTTCCCTCCAAGGGTTTCAGTGTTTGGGCCGACACCAGGGGGGCAGGTGCCTCCCCGGAGCACGACACGGGACCTAAATCCTGCCAAGAATGACAATCCCTTCCAGGTCCGGCGAGCCCACCGGCTGCAGGGGCACCGCCGCGCGTCCTCTCGAGGACAACAGCGCGCTAGCCAGGGGAGAGCCCCGGGCCCGGGCGGGCGCTGCTCCAGGCCGCACAGGCTTCGCCGGGGCCGCGCGGGAGTCCCGGGGGCTCTCCGCCGCGCCCCTCGGCCTGGCACGGCCGGCGCGGGGCTTGGGGGGCGAGGGGCCGCCGGCTCCCACGGGAGGGCGGAAGGTGCCCTCGTCCAGGGGTCGGGCCAGCTCCCGGGTCCCCTCGCGCGCCCGGGCCGCCGGGGTCCAGGGACCCCCACTTCCAGTGTCGCCGGCTTCCGGCCCCCGCGCCCCGGCTCCGCCCCCACCCCCGCCGGGCGGGACGCTCACCTGCCCCGGAGCCGACCTCGGCCCTCAGCAGCGCCAGCGCCAGCACCACGAGCCGCGGAACCGCCATGTCGCCACCGTCCGTGCCGTCCCTGCCGCCAACCGCCGCCCGCGGCGCTATAAAAACCGGAGGGAGGGCCGGGCGCGCGCGCGCAGGGCGACGTCGAGGGGCGGGGACGCGCACGGCACGCCGGCCGCCCCCCTGCGCACGCGCGCGGACGCACGTACGCACGCGCTGGAGAGAGCCGGAGCCTGCAGAGGCCCCACGTGACCCTGATGGCCACGCCCCACGGCCTGGGGGGCGTGGTTGCGTTGCTAGGAAACGGGGGCGGGACCTGCGAGGGCGGCGCTGGGCCCCTCCTCCCTTTCTTCAGCCTCTCAGAGTGTGACGTCAGAACAGAAGTGTAGACTCCCAAGTGGTTGAAATGCTCGCTTTAAATTATGTGTATTTTGTCACAATACGGAGAAGAAGAAAAACATATTGAAGGGGTCGGGATCCCTGTGAACAGGTGGGATGTGTGTCCTGGGCTGCGGCGGGCTGCCGGATTTAGCAAATAAAAATACCTGGATGGCAGTTAAATTTGAACTTCATTTCCTCGCGTAAGTATCCCGTGCAATATCTGCACGTCGTTGTGCCAAGAAAGCACTCGCTGTTTACCTGAAATTCACATTAACTGGCTGTACTGCATTTTGTTTGGAAAACCACGCTTTACAACAAATGCTTGTTCACTTATTTTTTGTTTTATTAAGATTTTATTTTTAAATAATAATAGTGGGGCACCTGGGTGGCTCAGTCGGTTAAGCGTCTGCCTTCAGCTCAGGTCATGGTGCCAGGGTCCTGGGATCGAGCCCCGCATCGGGCTCCCCGCTCCGCGGGAAGCCTGCTTCTCCCTCTCCCACTTCCCCTGCTTGTGCTCCTGCTCTCGCTGTGTCTCTCTCTGTCAAATAAATAAATAAAATCTTTAAAAAAAATAAAAAAATAATAATAGTAATCTCTACACCCAAGGTGGGGCTTGAACTCACAACCCTGAGATCCAAAGTTGCGTGCTCTACCAATCCAGCCAGACAGGCACCACTAGAACAAATATTTATTTATTTATTTATTTATTTATTTTTAAAGATTTTATTTATTTATTCATGAGAGACAGAGAGAGAGAGAGGCAGAAGGAGAAGCAGGCTCCCAGCTGAGCAGGGAGCCTGACGTGGGGCTCGATCCCAGGACGCCAGGACCATGACCTGAGCCGAAGGCAGACGCTTAACGAGATGGAGCCACCCTGTACTGGTTATTTTTAAGAACTGCAGACACCAGAGGAGCTCTGAAGAATTGAGAAGTTACCTTTTTGCGAGAGACACTTACAAGGGAAAGCCGGTTTGCCGGGTGTCTCCCTCACAGGCCGGGAAGAGGGATCACGCCATCTCCTGAAACCCGCATGGTGGAGCAGGCAGGGACCTGCATGTGCAGCCTCACCCTGTCCACCTCCCCTAGCGGACTCCCCACCCCCAGCCTCAGCTCTTGGCTTTAGCTGAAGGTGGTTTTTAAGGGGCTGGCTTTGGTCACTGGGGAGCTTTCTCTGTTTTCCTGCGTGTCTCCCATGTTATTAACCTTCTGTTTCTCTCCTGCTCATCTGTTTTATGTCAATTTAAGGATTAGACCACCAAAGCCCTAGAAGGGAAAAAGGGGAAGTTTCCTGCACCTCTGTGGGTGAGGGAGGGCTACTTTAGATCCGGCCTGGCAGCTTCCCGAGGCTGTGATGTTCAGAGTGGCGGCAGCAGCGTGGGGAGGTGAGGGCAAATCTGAGGACAGCCGGGCAGGCTGGGGGAGGCAGAAACCCTGGAGGAGGGAGGCTGGGCAGAGGCAAGATGGGCTACGGTGAATGCTGGAGGGGAGAGGGGCCAGGACCTGCTGATGAACGGGCTCTGCTCTTTGGAGACTCACTCTCAGTGCCTGGGAGTCTCAGAGCGGCCCGGAGCCCCAGCCTGGGGGCCGAGGGCTGGACAAGGCCGCTCAAAAGGGGGCCGAGAGCTACGTGCAGAATGACCAGGAAAGCGGCCAGCTGGCTTCAAAGTCCCTCTGGCCTGGGTGCAATTCCACGGCCCCCTCTCCTGCCCTCCCTGGGCTGGGCTGAGGACAGATCTCGTGGGAAATATTAGGGCTGCCAGGCGGTCTTTGCTCTTGTTTACAAAATCAAGCTGTGCCTCCCCCAAGACCCAGTGTTCTGGCCCCCGCTCCGGAAAGTCTTCCCGATCCCCTCCCACTGGTCAGATCCCTGTCCTGCTCCGTCCTGGCCCCACCCTGGGGCAGGAGAAGCCCTCCAGGACCACTCCAGCAACGGTGGCCAGATTTAGCAAATAAAAATGCAGGTTGAATTTCAGATTAAAAAAAAAATCCATGATTTTTAAAGTGTAAGTCTATCCCATGCAGTATCTGGGGTGGACTTACACTAAAATGTCCCTGCGCTATATATGAAACTCAAATGTAACTGGGCGTCCTGTCTTCCATCTGGCGTCTCTGACCTGCTCAAGAGCAGCCCAGCTCCATCGCCTGTTGTAAATTCCCTCACTGCACTGGTCACTCTCTGACCTCGTGTCCAGCCCGAGCTCCTTGCTTGCTGCCCGCTGGTGCATGGGGGCAGGGACAGACGGCCACTCTTGCATTCTGCAGGTGCCCTTCCTTGCTCTGTCCTCCGCTCCTGGCCTCTGCGGCTGGCTCCCTCTCCGGGAGGGTCTGAGATTCCAGATTTGGATGTCTTCCTCTGACAGAATGGCAAGGAGACAGCTCTACCTCTTTGGCCTGTGTCTCTGCAGCTTTGCCCTGGGGACGGCTAGAAGCCCAGCCCCTGCTGACCCTCAGGACTGGGCACCCCAGGCCTTTGGCTCAGCCTGCCTGGCCCTGAGTCCTGCCTTGGAGTCCTGGCCGGGCGGCGCCAGGCTGTGCGGTACAGCTGGTTCCCTCCTTGCCCCGCGCTGGCCGCCGCCGGGCAGAGGCCTCTCCTGGCCACGAGAGGGGTTCAGCCTCTCACCTCCATGGGCTCTCCTGTCTCCAGCACCATACACCCAGGACGCCATCCCCGCCCGGTTACACAGCGTTTGCCTTCTAATTTTTCTCAGAAAACCTCTCAAACTCACAGACGAGGAGAGACAAGATGACGTCAGAGTTTCATTCTGTTACGCCCATCTGTCCACAGCTAACATGTCTCCACTTAGTTTTTTATGTGCATTTTTCTGAAAGGGGGAGCTTTGAAATCCAACCCTCTCCGGGCAGTGGGGGAGGGAGGGTAGTGGGGATTTTACGCTTCAGCGTTGGGGAGCCCTGGGAGCGGTTCGGGCAAGGGGGGCTGTCGTCTACTGTGTGTTCTAGAGAGATGTCTGGGCCAGCGAGGGGGAGAGGGGCCTGGGAAATGGGCGGGGGACAGGGTGGTCACTGGGTTGAGTGGTGCCCCCCAGAACCTGCGAATGGGGCCTCATTTGGAAAAAGGGTCTTGAGATGAGCGTCCCTCTGAGATGCAAGGTGAGAGACACGGACACGCAGGGGCGACAGCCTAGGAAGGAGACAGACGCGGCCAGAAGTCCAGGGATGACGCCTGGAGCCCCCGGGAGCTGGAGGAGGCAGAAGGACCATCCCGAGAGCTTGCAGCAGGAGCTCAGCCCACCTCGATCGTGGACTTCTGGCCCCAGAACCGTAGGAGCGTGATTTCTGTTGTTTTCAGCCGTCCAGTTTGCTCTGTTACCGCCGCCCCAGGAACTGGTGCAGATCGTACACGTCCGTTAGCACTGACTTGACGGCAGTGGGGGTGGTGGGGGGCTGTCCAGGGTGCACAGCCGGAACTGAGATGGGGAGGCTCCATGGGGGTGGGCGCTGCGGCACGCGAGGGGTTCAGCCTCTCACCTCCATGGGCTCTTCATCGCTCAACTGGTACTTTCCCCAGAAAGATGTCAGCTGCTCTGCCTCAGTGAACTGGTGTACCCTATCCAGACTTCCCGGTGGTCCACGGGTTCCTCACTCCGTTGCTGGTGTCTTTGCCGTAGTGGGATCTCAGGAGGGTTCTTTCTTGTTCAGCCTTTTATTTTAGCCAGTCCTCGACCTACACCCTTATGAGAATGGCGGCCCCCCTCCGCCTGGCTCCCCGGTGGGTTCTGCACATTGCCCTCCCTCCCTCTGTGCCTCTTCCCTCCCCCGTTGGTCTTCCAGAGCTCCTTGGCAGTGAGTTGCAGGCACCCCCCTCCAACCCTAAGATGGGAGAAAAAGGGTCCAATTTGAGAAGCTTAGGGTCGCGGCAAATTAACACTGGATCTACGCTCCAGTCAGATCTCCCCAGATGCCCCGACTTCAGCCTCTGGGCAGCCGTTTTCCCAGACCCCAGGCCCCACGCTGCAGGCAGCTGCCCTGTGGGCTCCAGTCCATTATTCTGGGGCAGACCCCAGGCTGGCCAGGCTCTCCTTGGGGCTCGGCTGTTTCCTGAGCATCATGCTGGGGCGCCCAGGCGCGAGTCCCCCCCCGTCCCACCCCCCACCGTGAGACACTTGGCTTTGTCCCCAGAGCCCGGGTCCCCTCATCAGTCAGCTGGGACGAGAACGACCTTCCCAATCACAGGGCACTGGGGAAGGTGAGCCGGTGTTTACAGTGGGGTAACAAGGGTCCATGTCTGTGCTGGGGTGAATTGTGCCCCCCCCCATCCGTGTCCAGAGGAACCTGAGGACGGGCCCTTATTTTGGAGTAGTTGCAGGTGTAATCAGGTTGAAATGAGGTCACACTGGAGCAGGGCAGGCCCTGTCCTATGGCTGATGTCCTCATAAAGGGAATTCTGACACAGAGCAGAAGCCACGTGACCACGGAGGCAGACACGGGAGGGACACGGCCACAGGCGGAGGGAACGCCTGGAGCCCCCGGGAGCTGGAGGAGCCCGGGAGGGCCCTCCCCCGGAGCCTGCGGAGGGAGGGCAGTCCTGCCTTTATCTCTGACTTCGGGCCCCAGAATGTGGAAGGGTAGGATCCCATTGTTCTGAGGGCCTGCTTTGGGACTTTGCCTCCCTCGGAGGCAGTACGTACCCGGGGAAACCATCAGAGAACAGAGAGGGATCATTTCACACTGTAGAAGGCCCTGGGCAGTGCTCGGAGTCCCCAGGCAGGGTGGGGTCCTTCTCAT